CTAAATAATCAATCCCATATGTCTGTGTATAGCCTTTTGCAACCAGCCTGGCCTTGTACCTTTCAATGGTGCCATCAGCTCGGTATTTGATAGTAAAGACCCACWTGCAACCAACTGGATCCTTCCYTTYAGGCAAATCCACCACTTCCCATGTGTCATTCTTGTGTAGGGCATCGATTTCAGATTATTGGTTAAACGCCATCAAGGGAAAGTTAAAAATTTGGAGTATGGAGAATAAAATGAAATTGGGGACTGAAAAGAAGGCCTTATTGAGCACCATTGTTGAGACTATCAGAGCTGAAGAGGTGGGTCCCTTGACTGAAGAGTTGAGATTAAAAAGGTCTATTGCAAAAATCAGATTTGACAAGATGGCTGTAGAGGAAGAGATGAAGTGGAGACAAAGAGCCAAAACTATTTGGCTAAAGGAGGGTGATAAAAATACGAAGTTCTTTCATAAAATGGCAAATGCTCGTGCAAGGATCTCTTCAATTAGCAAGCTAGTGTGGGAGGATAGGAGTGGTGAGTCTAGCTCTGAGGTTAAATCAGTAGCAACCTCTTTCTATAAAAACCTTTATAAAGAGAGGTGGGTCCATAGACCATTTCCCTCCGAGCTTCCTTTCAAGCAATTGAATGAAGAGCAGAAACTCTGGATTGAGAGACCTTTTACAGAAGAGGAAATAAAGGAAGCAGTCAAGAAGCTTGAAAGTGATAAGTCGCAGGGTCCGGATGGGCTTTCAAACCTCTTTTATTTAAAATGTTGGGATATTGTGAAGAAAGACCTGATGCAGGTGTTCTAGGCATTTCACACAAATGCATCACTTCAAAGAAGTCTGAATGCTACTTTTATCACTCTCATTCCAAAAATTGAGGGGGCTGTTAATATAAAGGATTTTAGACCTATCAGTCTCTTGCATAGTTTTTACAAAATCCTGGCTAAAGTCCTGGCAGAAAGAATGAAAGGTGTGTTAGGAAGTGTTATTTCTTGCAACCAAAGTGCTTTTGTTCCGGGTAGACAGGTGGTAGATTCAATTCTCATCGCCAATGAATTGCTGGACTCTAGAAGAAGAGAGGGGACCTTGGGTGTCGTTTGTAAACTTGATATTGAAAAAGCTTATGACCATGTTAATTGGCAATGTTTGGACCTGGTGTTGGAGAAAATGAATTTTGGGCAGTGTAGAGAACACTGATGTGGGCCCCACAGCTATGGTCCCACTGTGTTCGTAGGGTAGAATGTGTTCTAGTCATCCTAGGGTTAGCTGGTGGTCAGTTGGTTATTTTAGTTATTTATTTCAGTTTTATTTTGTTCTATTTGTTATGTAAATACTAAGGGCAGATCTGTCCTTTCCATGTAATGNCTAGGGTTTCTCATGTGAGTCTAGTCCAGCCGACCACATGAGAACCATCTAGGGCTGGAAGCTGAGAAAGTAGAGTTCGTTGACTGATTCTTGGAAATCGCCAGAGGGTTTAGCAGCTGTTGAAGATTTGCCACGGTTGCAGAGTGTTGGTGATCAGGAAGAATCAGAGAAGGCTAGGGTTCGGGTAACCTTGGAAGGCAGCGAACAGCGTTCTCTTGTAAGTTTTTTATTTTCTGAGAGAAGTACTATTAGAGA